ACCTGGAGGCGGGAGAAGGTGTGCTGAAGCCCCACCACCACCACCACCACCACCCGCTCCTGCCTTCCTCCCGGGTTCCTCTTCTGGGCTTAGGAAGGCAGGGGCGGCACCCTCCAGGAACGGTGGGTGGAGAAGGTGGGCATCCTGCTCCTGGTTTTGCTCTTTTGTGTGTCTGTGTGCGTGTGCATGCTCCTAGGTGATCCCCAGGCTCTGCTGCCAGAGCCCGAAGCCCCACCACCACCACCACCACCACCCGCTCCTGCCTTCCTCCCGGGTTCCTCTTCTGGGCTTAGGAAGGCAGGGGCGGCACCCTCCAGGAACGGTGGGTGGAGAAGGTGGGCATCCTGCTCCTGGTTTTGCTCTTTTGTGTGTCTGTGTGCGTGTGCATGCTCCTAGGTGATCCCCAGGCTCTGCTGCCAGAGCCCACCCCTTGTCTGGTAACAGTTTCCTTCTCTTGCTGTAGTTGGCTTCCTTTAGATCAAGATGGCAGACCCTACCCGGCCACAGCGGAAGATGTCGCGAGCCGGGGAGAGCCTGTATGGGGTCCTGGGCCTGGAGAAAGGGGCTTCGTCAGAAGACGTCAAGAAGGCCTACCGGTAGGTAGGGAATTTCCTAAGGAAACCGCCCGGCCCCAACCTTCCTGCGGTGCCAGAGTGCCAAGGTGCTTCTCATCTGAAGCTCTTGTGAGGACCCTATAGTGGGGGCAGAGATTAGATGGGGCAGGTGGAGGTTGGGGGAGGCAAGCAAGGAAACCCCTGTGCCAAGATGTTTGCATCCTGAGGTGTCCCCAGGAGGGGGGCTGGCACATGAGCCTCTTTTCAGCAGGGCTTATATGCTCGCCCACCCCCACGCGCCCTCTCCTAAGGGAAGTGAGGTTCCTCTGTGTCTGTAGTCTGCACCTTGATGGGCGAAAGTAAACGCCAGCCACGCTGGAAGCAGAGCGGGAGAGAAAGGGACGGCCAGACTCTCCCCCCCAGGAGGCTCTTTCACGGCGTCTCCATTTGTTCAGAAATCTTGCCTGTCTGTTCCTTGACTGTGTGGTGCCCTTGCAAAAGAGGGGCGGAATCACATCACGCAGGCTGCCCCTTTGGTGGTTTTGTTTACTATGTGCTTGGAAGCGGGGAGAAAAAGGGAACCTGTATTCTCTAAAGATGAGAAGCAGATTGTGGTAGCAGCGACTAAGAAATGTTGTCGTTGTGTTCCCTCTGGTCACTTAGCTCTTGGCAGCTCTATGAATGTGTGATCTCCCAAACGCTCTGCTCGCCATAGCCCTGCTCAGCTCTTGCAGATTCGAGCCTGTGCTTTCCTTTTGGCAGCCAGCCCATCGTGTATTTGGTCTTCCTCTTTTCCTGCTTCAGGTTTCTGCAAACGGAGGTGGCAGAGTAGGTTTCCTGTGCCTTTTTGCTTGTTTTCCTGCCTGCCTGCAACCTTTTTTCCCCTAGGAAATTGGCCCTGAAGTACCACCCGGACAAGAACCCGGACAACCCAGAAGCTGCAGAGAAGTTCAAGGAAATCAACAGTGCCCACACGACGCTCAATGATGAGAACAAGCGCCGCATCTACGACGCGTACGGGTCGATGGGCCTTTACGTCTCGGAGCAGTTCGGGGAGGAGAGCGTCAAGTACTACTTCCTCATGTCCAAGTGGTGGTTCAAGGTGCGTGGGGGTGGAGGTGGCTGGGCGCTCTTGGCTGGCAGGCGGGGGGGGAGGGGGAAGGGATCCCCCTATAGCGGCCCTGGGCCCTGCCTCTCTGGGACCCGCAGTGGGGCCGCCACTGGGGGAGGCTGAGCTTTGCCTTTCTGCCCTGACGCCTCCAGCCGCTGATGGTGTGCTGCAGTCTCCTCACCTGCTGCTGTTGCTGTTGCTGCTGCTGCTTCTGCTGCGGGAAGTGCCGCCCCCCGGAGGAGGAGGAGGAGTCCTACAAGTACGTCAACCCAGAAGACTTGGAGGCTCAGATCCGTGCTGAGGATGGAGGTGAGTGAGGCTGGGGACTTGCTTGCTCCAGGGGTCGGAGGGGCAAGGCAGCAGAGGCAGCCGGGGTGGTGGTGGTGGTGGTGGTGGTGGTGGTGGGGAGAATCTTACCCTTTCAGGGCCTGGAGGTGTGGCTCTCCCAACAACATTGCAGCTTCCGTTCGGGGGGGGAGGGGAGAGGGGACGAACTCCACCTCTATATGGCCACTGATTGACTTGGTGGCCCACCATGCATTCCAGGTGCCGATGCTATCCGTTTGCAGCCCACCCCCAGCACCTCCCTACACACCAGTGATGAAACTCAAAACCCCAAGCCGTGACCTTGTAAGTAAGGGGCGCCTTTTTTGCTCTGTGAGCCAGCTGGAGGTTGGGTAGGGCACATGATCAGAGGGCAAGAGACTGGGCGGAGGAAGGGTCGGCCCAGAGGAGCTGTGGGTCTGTGTCCCCAGCTGAGTCATGCACTCCCACAAGCCCCGATCCCCTCCTTTCAGAGCCAGGCCCTTGGTTATGGCCAAGGCCTTTCCCCGAACCGGGCTCGGCCTTTTGGGGGCTGCTTCTCCCCGCTGCAGGAGGAGCTCCTTGGCCAAGGAAGGAGCCGAGGGCCTGCTTTTGGGAACAGCCAGCCTCTTGAATGCCGCCCCGGCTCTGTTCCCCCTTCAACCCTTCCTCTTCAGGGCTACCCTTCCATCTCCTGGCTCTGGGGCAGCCCCTTTCCACGTCTGTCTTGCCAACGCCAGCCGTACTTTGTGCAGTCGCGCCGTCTGGCCTCCTCCTCCTCTGGTCAAAGTTTCTCCCTCTGCGTTCCTCGTATGCGCAGGGTGGGGCCAGGCGGCCTCTGCTTATTCTTGCTTCCTTGTCTTCCTTCCCCCAGAGTCCAGCTGCCGGTCACAGCACAGCCCCCCTTTTTCTACAGCCATTCCAGAGACATTCCGGACCCAAATTGCTGAGGAAGGCCTCCCACTGGACTCAGGGCAGAGAGTGCCCCCCCACTCAAAACTGGGGTGTCTTGCAGTATCTGCCCTGTGTGGCCAAACGGCACAATTTTTCTCAGGGAACACAGCCAAGGACTCGTCTGGATGGTGGAGCTGGCTGGCTTTGGGGGAAGATGGAGAGGCGGGCCGGGGTGTGTGGGGGCGGGGAGGCACAGCTCGGCTCTTGGGTCCTGGTGCCCCGCTCCCTTCTCTGGGGCGGGGGGGAGGAGGGTCGCTTCTTTTGGGCTGGAGTAGGGTCTGCCCGTCGGCCTTTCTCCAGTCCGAGTGGGTGGGTGGGGAGAGTCAGGTGCATGGTTGTGCGGTGCTCCTCGCCCCTCCCTGCCACGCTGAGGGTTCCCTCCTGTAAGCCAGCCAGCCGTGGCATCTGCCAGGGCGAGAGGATGTACATCACATGGGCCAAGCCCTCCTCCTGGTGCCAAACGACTCCGGAGGGGCCAGCTCGAGGAGCGGAGAGAGGTCCCAGGGGCGCCCGCTCAGAGGACTGGCAGGACTGCCTACCGGCCTCTCCTGGTGCTCGGCTGCTCCAGTGGGCCTCGAGTGCTGTTGGGGAGCCAAACCCCCCCCCCTTTGGGCTCCCCTCACCCACGTCTATGGGGTGGCCCTCCGGAAGGGCCGCTTTTCACACTGTGACAACGGATTTTGTTAGAGACACATCAGCTCAATTAAACATTTCTGAAGGAAGGAGAGCTAGTGCCTGTCTGTTTCCCCCATGGGGGCGGAGGCGAGGGTTGGGGAGGCGTGGAGCTGTCGCGGGAGAGAAGGCCCAGGTCTGCTCCATGTTGGGGCCACTTGGCTTGCGAGACTCGGGCAACTTTGCCTCATAGCAGGAAGCCCCGACTTTGAAGCAGCTCATACGGGAAGGCCTTGGAGGGAGGGAATGGCCCCCTGGACAGGAGCCGTGGGGGGGGGGGGGAGGGCAGGGACGTGGCAGCCCAGAAAGGTGGCAAGGCATTGCATCCTGGCCACAGAAGGCCATAGTTCTGCTTAGTTCTGTGGCTTCTGGCTGTCCCATTTTAGAAGGGACTCTGGCAAACTGGAACCGCTCCATGGAAAAGTAAGCGGAAGCCGCCTCCTGTGAGGAAGAATGGGGAGCGCTCACTGTGCTTCTTCTTCTGAAGAAGAAGTTAAGGGAAACTGTAATTGTGGTTTTCAGAAGCCTGGAGGGCTCAAATATCTCTGCCAACTGGGGAGCTGGTTCAGTCTTTCTTCAGAAATTGGTGCTAGAAAACTGGGAGCGAAAATTCCAGGCTAACAAAGCTTGGCTGGACATGATGAGAGCCAAAGGGGGGCCCTTCCTCAGCAGGGGGATGGCTTTTCTGGGTGGGAGGTGGGAGCAGCCTGTGGAGGGCTGTCTCTCAGGGTTGCTTGTAGCTGCACAGGAGAGGCGGCCCGGCGGCCCGGGGGGGGGCGGGCTACATGGCCCCTGCGGACCTGTTGGAGCCTTGATTCTCCCGAGGGGCAAGCAACACTCATTTCCAGGGGGGTGCCTGCCCGGTGGCACCTCCCTGTGCACCTGCAAGGCTCAGGGGTGAGCAAGGAGCATCTGTGGACTGTGTCCTCTCGTTCAGGTGCCAGAGCTTAAATGCCGGAAGGATACAGGAGCCTTCGCAGCAGGCAGCGCTTCTTCTATGGGAGCGCCAAGCCCCAAAGAGGCTGGGCTGGCAAGGAGGGCAGCAGCAGGCTAGAAACGTTGAGAAGATTACCATTTCTGCCTCTCTGCGCCCCCAGGAGGATGGGTTGGCAACTCAGGTGTCTCTGGGGCCACCACCTCGGGGGAGGGAGAGACAAATGCTTCAGCATCGCTCTTTCTGTGGCTCCTGGGCCACCAAGAGAGAGAGAGAGAGAGAAGTGGCAAGCAGAGCACGGTGGGGCTCTGTCCAGAGCTGCCAAACCGTGTGGACGGAGGAGTCTTGTTTCCTCTTGGCGCCAACATAGGAAGAGAGCAGCCGGGCACCTCTGGTCGAGGAGAAGGGCCCAGGGTGGTACGGATGGAGGACGAGGGGAGTGGAGCTACTGTTGCCTGAAAGGGGGGGGGAGCGGTGAGAGGACTTAGTAGGAATTGGGAGGTCATGTTGTGCGCCCCCTCCAAACAATGATGGTCATTGCTGGGCAAGGGGGGAGCAACCCAACAGAGGACCAGTCGCGCACTGTTGGGTCTTCAGAGAACAGGGACAGGCGTGGATGTGAAAAACAAGTCCGTTCCTTCCCCCTCCTGTAGCATTAACTGAAGGAAAGGCAAAAGGCTAGTCTCTGGGCAGGAAGCCTCAGTGGCACATCTCCAGACTGGGTGATGACCGACCGGAGTTGCGAGACCCAAGGGCTGGCGGTGGTGCTTGGCGGCAGCAGCCTCTGGAGAAGGACAAGACCTCGGTCCGGGTCCTGGCGGCGTCCTCGTTGCTTCAGCCGGGCTGGTCTTTGGAATCCTGACTCTGAAAGTGATGAGCCGATCGGGCGATGGCACCTTCCAGCGTTTGCAGCATGGACCCGTGACGGGCGACAGCCCATTGATTTCGGTTCCTCCAGAGGCCAGCATGCAAGTCAAGCAGCTGCTTTGAGGCAAGTCCTGTTGGGAAGGACTCTCCCTGAGAACGGAAGGCGCAGTGCAGCAGAACCTCCTCCCTTGAAAGGGGCTGGATCCTCAGTTTGAGCCCTTTTTCTCTCTCTCTCTAAGCAGAGGTGACCCGGCACAGGTGCTGTGCCAGAGGGTGGCAGATGCACTGGGAGCGGGGCTGGACTAGATCACCTCTGAGGTGCCTTCAGACTCCATCCTATGATCATGGTAACCGATTGGCCGCTTATTTATTAGCTGCTGTGTTTTCAACAGTGGTTGCACATTCGGCCCGGCCTTCGTAGGTGCCCCGACTGCCACGCTCCCTTCCCCTCTGCCAGGACAAGGTCCTCTTTCCGGCTCTGCATTTGGTGTCCGGCCATGGAGGCCAAGGGCAGCAGCGGGGGGGGGTTAGGGAGCTGACTGCCAAGCACCTCGTAATTTCTGGGACACCCCTCCAGCTCCCTCCTCTCTCCCCCCCTCCTTAGCACCCATCTCTTGTGTGGGGTCTGTTGCGCTTCGTGGCTCAGGCACTTCCCTTGCTTAGAAGCAAAAAGGAATGGGTTGGAGAGGGGGCTGCTCTGTGGCAATGGGCACCCAGTGGGGAGAAGCAGCGCAGGGGGCGGAATGTGGGGGTGGTCTGTAAGCTAACTCATGGTTTTGAGAATAAAAGCACCCCCCCCAAAAAAAAATGTTGCAGTGAGGGCGGAGGGAGGCTAAGAGTGCTGTTGG